ACAACTGTAACTGAAAGTGAAGCTACAGAAGGTAGTAGAAAGAGAAAAAATTCTTTAAGAAAGGTGTCAAAAGTATGGGAACACTTTACTAAGTTACCATTACAGGAGACAAATGGAAAAGTTAGAGCTGCATGCAAGTACTGTAATTTAGATTATGCTTGTGACTCAGGAAAGCATGGTTTAACATCCTTGAAGAGGCATATACCAAAGTGTCCCAAGAATCCACATAAAGCTACACAAATGACAAAACAATCTATGTTGAATTATGTGACACCAAGTGGGCAAGAGGGAAGCTTAGTACCTCACATGTTCAATCAGAAACAATGTCGCAGGGCTCTAGTTGAGTTCAACATATGTGATGACATGCCATTTAGGCTTGTTGAGAAAGAAGGCTTTAAAAAGTTTGTGAAGGAGTTAGAACCACGATTTCAAATCCCTTCAAGAATAACAGTGGCTAGAAATGCCTGACAATTGTATCTTGGTGAAATTAGAATCTTGAAAATTTGTTGAAGAAGTGTACTAATAGTCTTTGCCTCACTATAGATTGTTGGACATCAGTTCAAAACTTCAATTACTTATGTTTGACAGCCCATTTCATTGATAATGATTGGAACTTGCATAAGAGGATTCTAAGTTTTTGCACGGTTGAGAATCACAAGGGTGATACGATAGGCAAGACAATTGAAAGGTGCTTATCAGATTGGGGCATACAAAATGTGTTCACCATAACTATGGATAATACAACTTCCAATGACACAGCCTTGTCTTACTTAAAAAGGCATCTAAAGAATTAGAGGGGTCTTGTTTGTGGTGGTGATTATCTTCAACTACGGTGTTCTGCACATATTCTTAATCTAGTTGTTAATGACGGGTTGAAGGAGTTGAAAGATACTTTTGAGTTCATTCGAAATGCTATTAGATATGTTTGTTCCTCTCCTGCTCACTTGCAAAGATTTAAAGATGTTTGTGAATTGGAAATGTTGGACATAAAAAGTATTGTTTGCCTTGATGTTAGTACTAGATGGAATTCTACATATTTAATATTACATGTGGCTTTGAAGTTTCAAAAGGCATTTGAAAGATTAGAGGATGAGGATGAAGATTTTGTTAGCTACTTCAACAAAGGTTCAAAGCGTCATGCTCAGAGTGACTTTTCTTGTTTAGAGGGTAGCATAGATGCTTATGTTTATAGGCAAGGTGCTAGACCCGATGATAACATAGATGCTTTTGCTTACTCTAGGCAAGCTCCTCCTAAGCGTAATGGCCCTCCAAACAAACAAGCTTGGAGTAAAGCACAATTCTTTCTTAAGTTCTTGAAGGTATTTTATGATGTCACTTTGCAATTTTCTAGCACACTGAAAGTTACTGCACATACATACTTCCATCAAATTGCTTTAATTCAAAAGTTGTTAGATAAGAATATTGAAAGTGATGACCCTCTTCTTAGGGAGATGTCTTTGAGCATGAAGAATAAGTATGATAAGTATTGGGAGGCAGCAGATAATTCAAACCCTTTGTTGATTATTGCTGTGATTCTTGATCCTCGATACAAGCTTGCCTATATTAATCATGTATTTGATCAACTTTTTCCTGCCCCTGACCTTTGTATGTCCATGAAGAACAAGGCAAGAGATACTTTGTATCGCCTATTTGAGGAATACTCTGCAATAGTTAGTCCTGATACAAGCAGTTCTAGATCTGGTAGTGTCAACTCTTCAAGTTCTCTTGACACCAACACTTCAAATGCAAGTAAAGGTAAAAAAGACCCTGGTCGTAGATGGTTAACATCCCAGAAGCAAAAAAGTTCATCAGTTGATACCCAATCAGAGTTGGATAGATACCTTTCTGCTAGTACATCTGAGGACACCCCTATTGATGATGATGATGATGATTTTGATATCTTGACATGGTGGAAGGTTAATTCTACCAAGTACAGAGTGCTTTCCTTGATAGCACGAGATGTATTGGCTATACCAGTATCTATAGTTGCTTCTGAATCAGCTTTTAGTACTGAAGGACGTGTTGTTAATGATTATAGGAGTTCTTTATCTCCTAAGATGACTGAAGCACTCATTTGTGCCCAGAATTGGCTAGTTGCAGGGCAATCTCTCTCAGAGTTTGTCTCTATGTTTCATGAGGTTGATAATTTTCAAGAGACTGATGATGTGGTTAATGTTACAAGTAATATATTCAATTTTATGTCTCTTAATTTAATTTATATATTGCATTTTTATACTTACTAATCACATTATATATGTGTATATGATTTTTTTTTATAGATGCTTCAAGTGTTATTGACACTGAGGAGATAATTATTTGAAGATTTATTGAGTTTGTTTCTGTTGAAGCTAAGGAGATAATTACATGACAGATGTAATGTAGTGTTAAACTTTGTTGAGTGTTTTTGTTGAAGTTATATATTTAAATCATTTGGAGTTTGGACTGTAACTGAAATATTATTTTCTTGATGTTAGAAATCATTATAAATTTATTATGATTATAACTTATAAGTGTTTTTATTATCTTAATTGAGTTTATTAGGTTAAAATGAATTATTGTTTATCATAGAGGAAAAAAAAAGAAAAAAAAGGCCTAGTGAATATTGGACTAACATGACCAGTCTCCCAGTCCTATGGACCAAGTCCGGTCCTGTTAATCTCTGGGTTTTCACAGGACCAGACCAGACTACGAGTTGCCTAATCCAGTCCTTTTTATGAAATGGACCAGACTCCGGGTTAGTCTGAAGCCCAGTCCCGTCCAGTCCTTTGTGCAGCCCTAGACCCAATAACGTTAAAATATTTTGAGAAATTGTCCGATAGCCTTTGTTGTTGTTGTTTTTTTTTTTTAAATTCCTCCCTTTTTTTGTGTCATCTAAAGAATCGCTTTCTCAATCTTAGCCTCAAATAATGAAATCATAACCATTAAAATATTAAATTGTTGGAAGACTAATCAAACGGTCAAATATTTTGTTTATAGATGATGATGATAACTAGACATTTAATAATCTTTTACAATATATTTTAAAATATTTTTATATTATTTTATTTATATTTTAAATTTTTTTGAATATTTAATAATTAAATTAGATTATACAAAAAGAATATAAAACAAAGGATTTAGAATCAAGCCTTGTGTTTTAATACTTTGGACCAAGCTTCAAAAGAACATAGGACAATCGAGCTTTCATGCTGAACCCTTAATGGGTTAAGCCCATAAAAAACTGGGTTAGCCCACTTTCCAACTCTAATTGTGGGCTTATACATCCATAAACTTTGAAAGAAGTCATTCTATTAGTTTCAATGACTGTCTTTGAAACCTCTTTATGAGAGTTGCATCTCTACCGGTTCACTCAAGGTGTAATGGAATGGTGTCCCAACTCCCAAGTGATGTTTTTCATCCTGAGAGGAGTGTCCATCAAGGTGACCCAATCTCTCCTTATTTATCTGTACTTTGTATGGACGTTCTTTCTCATCTTACCCAAGACAAGGTAGATAACAGTGAACGGCTTCCCATCAAAATGTCTAGAAGAGGTCCTTTTATTTCTTATTTAATGTTGGCTGATGACTTGCTTTGACGAATCCAATGGAAAGCAAATCAGTTGCATGATAATTGATAGATGCTCTGAACCATTTCTATCAAACTCTTCTTTATTTTTGGGCACTTTCTTTATGGAAAGTTATTTTCTAAACCTGCTGTGCAACTAATTTAGAAAATTGATCTTGTTATCAGTAATGAATCCAGACTCACCTATAATTGGGGGGGGGGTTTACGAATATTGCGGAGCAAAAACTAAATTTCACATTTTCCATAAATAAAATCTAAAAAACATAAAAGAGCAGTAAAATTATGGGAGGGGGGGAGGGGGAAGTACCCCCTTCCACCCTGACTCATCACTGCTTGTTTTAAATTGGTTCCACAACCGATTTAGAAGTCATTTTCACCAGGTTTTTGAAAAAGAAAAAAAAATTATAAGGCGTGCAAGCTATCTGGCCTCCTGTTGCAGGGATCAAAGTCATCAAACTGGATTGTGAATGATGGAAGACATTACTCTTTTCTTACATGCACATTGGCTAAATGATAACTTGAAGGTCTCTGGTTGACTGGGTTTTATGCACGTTCTCAGTCCATGACTGTTGACTGGGCCGAAATCCAAGCCATTATCAAAGGTTTAGCATCTATAGCGGTTCATTCCCCTGGATCTCATAGAAAACTTGAATGGGATATTGACTTCCATTTTATAAGTAGAGACGCTAACATCCCTGCTTATATCCTTGCCAAGCATGGTGCGAGAACTAAAATTCCTTGGTCTGGTGAGGTCGCTCCTACTTTTCTAGGGAGCCCTGTTCTTGAAGATTTAATGGCTATTCATAAATATTAGTCTAATTGATAAGGATTTAGCCCATAACTCATAAAATTGTGGATTCAAATCCTGCTATTGGTGTGAGAATCTTGTTAATGAACAATTTCTAAGTACCACTGTAAATGCTCTTTGAACCTAAAAACATGTCTTAGCCTTAGTGAGCTTCCAGAATTCAACTCATCTAAATTTTATTTGTATAAAAAAAAAAATAAAGATTTAACGGGTTTTCATCCCACTGTTTGTAACAAGGGTTCTATCAAATAATATATATATATATATATATATTTCTTTTTCCCCTGGGGGTAAGGGAGGTTATGTCACAGATAGATCAGCTTCAAATCCACAACAGCAGCAAACCACAAATGGCTGCAATAACTTTGAAGTTAGCTTTTATTATATCTGAAAATAATGGAACTAAAACTTAGCTTACAGCATGCATGGATGAAAAATCTCCAGTCATAATAAAACTCATGAAGATACTTCAATAGATGAGTTCAAATGTAAGAATTCGTGTTGGGAAAAAACTTCTGAAAAAATTGTTACTAAATTGTTACTTTCGGTTTGTGTTTACCGTTCTACTTGTGTGCATTGGTCAAGATTTGTTGAGTAATTGTTTCTAAATGTTTATGACAGTCATCACTTCAGGCCGAACAAATGTTTCATCAATCAAAGCTGTAGAATGTTAATTTATCATCAATATATACATACATGTGTAAATAGATAAATGTGAACATTACAATTTTGAGACCAATCACCTCAAAGCAAATTACCAAACCTAAAAAATTGTTCATCTACTATGTATTCTTTGGCACCGTCAAGAAAAAATATTTTGGCACCACCATATGATATGCGCCTCTGATTTACCTGATGTATCTTGTGGCCTAGTCTTCCTGTTTCTTGTGGCTCTCCATTGCTTCCACCACAAGCCATGTGTTCTGTGCTCTCTGGATAAACATTTGTGACCTTATTATCTCTGCTACAAGTTTCATTTTTCTGTCTTTCCTGACTAACATCACTTAGGTTATTTTCTTGCGATCCTTTGAGTTCTTGGCCGCTAGATTCATCTTGCACAGTGAGTCCAGAGCGTGGCTTTTCTTTACCGGGGTCCTTAATTACTGGAATAACCTGCAATACATCAAGCAAATAGCATCAGTCAATTTTTCTTTTTGGGGATAAAAGAAGAAAGTTTGTGAGAAATATAAGGAACTTCTGGTTAGAGGATAAGAAATCCTTTATCAAGAAAATACAAGAAAAAATCTCAAGACAGAACAAAGCAACAAGGCCCCTCTCAAACTTCGTAGTAAAGAAGAGCTTTACAGTCTCTTTGCATGCAAGATATTATCACAATCTACTAATTATGTAGATTATTGGATATCATGTGAAGCCTTGAGAAGTACATGAAGTAGCTTCATTTTGGAGTGCGCTTGAGTTCATTGATTAAATACCTCCAAGTTAGCTGCTTGTGGCGATACTTCGATGTCTTGTGAACTAGATTCATCTAGCAAAAGGCGATTGGATTGTGGCTTTTCTATAATGGGGTCCTCAGTTACTTTGATAACCTACAATATATCAAGAAAATAACATCACTCATTCTTTTTGGGGATAAAAGAAGAAAGTGTATGAGAAATAATAGAACTTCTTATCCGATCCTGTCTGGAAAATACAAGAAGAAGGCTCAAGAAAGAACAAAGTAACAAAGTCCTTATCAAACTTTGCGGTAAAGAAGACCTACAGTCTCTCTGCGGACAATACATTAATCACAATGTACTAATTATGTAGATTATTGAATATCATGTGAAGACTTGAGCAGGACATTAAGTAGTTTCGATTTTGGTGTGTGCTTGACTAGTTGAGTTCATTGATTAATTACCTCTAAATTATCTGCTTGTGGTGATACTTTGATATCTTGTGAGATCGATTCATCTTTCAAAGGGCGTTTGAAGTGTGGCTTTACTGTAATGGGGTCCTCAGTTACAAGTGGCTTGTTATCAACTATGCATGGCAATGCTGAGATAACCTGTAATATATATCAAGCAAACAACATCAGTCACATTTTTTTTTTTTGGATAAAAGAAGAAATTTTATGAGAAAGAAGAGAATGAACTTCTGGTTTCTACACGGAATACAAGAAAAAAGCTCAAAAAAGAACAAAGTTATAAGGTCACTATCAAACTTAATGGTGGAAAAGAGCTTATAGTCACTTTGCACATAAGAAATTATCATAATGTACTAATTACATAGATGATTGGATATCATGTGGAGTCTTGAGAAGGACATAAGGTAGTTTCAGTTTTAGTGTGTGATTGAGATCATCGTTTACCTCTAAATTAATCATAATATTTTCAAAGGATTTATCTATATTGTTTTTCTAATAAATTATAGCAACAAAATTGTTATTTTTCTGATATGTTCAACTTTTCCTTTCTTATTGGAAATAATAAGCCTTACCATATTCATTGTTAACCTTTCCTTTGGATTCTTTCTTAGACACTTCTCAATTACTTGGACCAACGAAAAAAGTTCTTGATCATCGTAGGAGCTGCTGAGTTTTGGATCCACCAATTGTGGGTAATTCATTCCTCTAAGAAGTGGTTTTGCCTGAAGAAATGTTGTTCAATGCAATATGAAAAAGCAATGGAAGTTGATGTAAGAGAATAATCAGCTTTCATAAACGCAGGAATTTTCTTTGGTAATGCATAATTAAACATTGTGATTGCTCTGATCACTGTCTTTAGGCCTTGGTGCTTTGATTTCATAGGAAGATATAAATGATATAAACTTACAGATAAGGAACATAATAATTTGTCGAATACATTTACTAGAAGATAATAATGACAGCCTCACCAATCCAAATATTCTTCATATGAGAGATCTTAGAGAAGAAATGTCCAAAGAATGACCTCAAGATGCCAAAATAGACATTTCTATGCTCCTCCAACCAATCTAGTTCACGGTTTACAGTGGAAGTAGAATTAAAATACGAAAGGCAGAAGGAAGCTTGGAGGATTGCCATAGATCATAAGACCAAATATAATAGGATGTTATTTTAAAATTGAAGTATCTAAAAAATTTGCCATAATCACAATTTGCAAGAATATATGATTCCTAGAGTACCAAGAAGCCACGGATGAGAGAATTAAAAAATCAAACATTTTTCTAGATGTGCTTGGACAACACATTATAAAATAGTGAAGCATATATAATACTTTTATATGGTACTAATTACGCTTGTAATTTTTAGATAGAAAACCATGGCTCTTACCCATTCAATAAGACTTTTCTGTACTGAAACTTTATCTATAACCCTATGCCCAGTGATCAGCTCTAAAAGAACCACCCCTAAAGAATACACATCTGTCTGAGTTGAGAACTTTCCACTGTCCAAAAGTTCCGGAGCCTCGTATCCAATATTCTCTACATTTTTATTCTTGTGCCAATTCTTCAATTCATTTTTGGATTTTCCAAATCCAAAATCTCCTACCTATAGATATGAGTATCATCCAAGCTAGAAGTTAAAAGCTAAAATGATAAAAAAAAATTTCAGATTAAAACTTAGATTGTAGCAAAAGACTCGCAGCTATTAAGTTCTACGTACCCGTGCTTCAAATTCATGAGTTATAAGAATGTTACTTGGTTTTATACTTCCATGAATTGTATTATTCTCATGCAGATACTTTAGACCTCTGGATAAACCTATTGCAATTTTCACCCTCTCTCTCCATGTTAGTAATCTACCAGTTTGTCCTGCAAATTGCCAAAGTTTCCTTCAATATTAACTTCACATCTTAACTAAAGGTTCATGTATAAAGTCTACAAACTTCATTTCAGATAAAAAGCTGTAAATGTATTTACCTGATAAATGATGCTCAAGTGAACCATTGCATGCATTCTCATATACAATCAGCATTTTAGTTTTATCTATGCATGAACCCAACAACATGACCACATTTTCATGTCTAGCCTTAGAGAGGAACTGAACTTCTGACTTAAATATCTTCTCTTCCTGGGAGCTTGTCATTTGAAGTTGCTTGACAACTATTTTCAATTTGCAGTTTAGCTGGCCTCTGAACGAAGGTCCATATACACCTTCAGTTAGAGAGTTCTTAATTGAAAACCCCTCAGTAGCCACATGGAGCTCATTATAAGAGAAATCCTTATGACCTCCAAAATGAGGGCGTTTACTTTTGCAGATAGAGCATACAGAAGATTCGGAATCCTCTAACATAACTCTGATGTTACAACCATCCAATGAATCCCCACGTAAGCTACCCTGCATTAGTTCTTCATTGCAATTTTCACTTGCAATTTGGCTACCCATATTTGTGAGTATTGTGCCCCTCTTTTCTATTTGGAGGCTTCCTCCTGTACCTTCTTGAGCCTGGCTTATCTGATCAGTTTTTGTGCGACACATCATGTGAACATTGCTGATCTCTTCTCCATCCTGGCGCAGCTGATGAACATTTCTACTACCTATTAAGTCATTTTTTCTGACTATTGATCTTAAGCTCCTCTCCATCTCATAAGGGATGCTTTCGATCTGTTCTTGTTTCCAACTGTTCTGATCAACCTTTGTTTGACCTATCATTTAAGTCAAGTCATTCCTTCCTCCTTCAGAAAAAGAAGTTCTAAAAGGAAACAAAGAAAGCAAGCTTGCAACTAATCTAGTAGTCAATTTCATTAGATCTGTTTCTACCAGTTTGTCTTTGGGGATTCAGGTAGAAATATAAGAAGCAAAAATGAAAATAAACAGCAATTTGAATTGTAATTGAACGGGTTATAATATGATGGAAACTAACTTTTGTTATTTATGGAGAATGTTAATATGTTAAAAAGGTCCTCTTCATCTAGAAACCCTAGTACTATTTCACCATAAGCTGTCTGGTTGTTAAACGTTTCTTTTCTGAGGATATTACTTATGGAGAAACTTTAGTAGCCTCCACTTATTTGTTACTTTTTTTTATTAAAAAAAAAAAAAGTCCTCTTGCATGATTAACTCAAGCAAATTACTTTGTGCTGTTATAAGTGGAGAATTAATGCCATCATTACATGATATGAATGAATGAATAAATTGTTATTTTGGATATTTCCCTTTCCAGTGGAAGAAAAAAGCACAGGTCCACCATAAGTTACATACTTCTAGTTTTTGTCCTCTACCTTTGTCCTTAGGATTCCAGAACTTTCTGATCACCACAAGTTGCGTGCTTACTGTTGGTGTTTTTTTAAAAGTTTATCTTTATTCCTGAACTGTTTGTTTAAGTTGTCATTACCTTGTGAACAAATCATATCAGGCGCACAGGGTGGTATATATGATTTTTCTGGAGAAGAGTCTTCAATTGCACATAAACCATCAGTATCTTCAATGTCTTGCAATGCAGAGACAACCTGAAATGGTCCAAGTGAAGTAAACATACATGAAATGTCAAATGTTATGGTTATTTTTTATTTTTTTAATAGAAATGTCAAATATTATGTTGATAACAATGCATATAAAATTGTATGTGCGATAATGTGATGATTCGAGGGAATGAAAAGGTATGAGGTTGTGCTCGGAAAGAGTCCGAAACCAAGTTAAATTTTCTGACAATCAGTCTTGTTTTTATATGAATAGGAAATTTCTTTGACTTCTTTTGTGACTAACTAGAATACAGAGAAAATAAAATTAAACTCTCAACAACAGTGAAATTAGGATCATGATCATTTAGATGTATTCTTGACGCTTTGGGCTGTAGATCCTTTCATATCTTTGACTTGCAAAACATTTTCTTGTTTCTTAATTCAAATGTTCCTTCTAAAAGTTTAGCTTTGCACACTGGAGGAAGTAGTTTGGGTTGTTTGAAGGTTAATGGAAGTCTTTTGCCAAAGAAGTTTTAGGAATATAAAAAAGAATTAGGTTGCTTTGACTTCTACTCTTATTTCTGGATTGTAATATTATACCTGGCTCAAAGCATAAAATTTTTATTTAGAGAATTCTTTCTGTATCACGTTGTGTGGGCCGGATTTCTTACCTTGTTCACGAGTTTCAGCTCAGGGGTATTCAACTCTGTCTCTTTATCTGATATTAGAGTGTCAATACAAAATTATATTGTGTCACCGTATGGATTACCATGTCCTGTTCTTTCTATCTTTTGCCCTTTCAGTTAGACACATTCCAAATCATTGAGACCTTTCTTTCATTTTTCTTTTTTTTTTTTTAATGTTTGGCAATGAAATCATTGAGACTCACCATATTCATGCTTGATCTTTTCTTAGGATTCTTCCTGAGACATTGTTCTATTACTTGGATCAACCATCTAAGTTGGTCTTCTTTGCAAGAACTGCTGATTTTAGTATCCACCAGCTGGGCGTATTTCTTCCCACCAAGAAGAGGCTTAGCCTGACATAAAATAATCAAGAAGAAAAAATGGGTGATGCAAATAGAAAATAAATTTGGTGAGAAAAAAAAAAATCAAAGTTCTTAAGCCATATAGTATGTTGAGTAAATCAGTCGATCCGCAAATGTTATGAAATACATATGCATTTCATGAATACTTGGCTTCTCTGACATGATCATATTAAAGGTGTCAATGGGGAGTAAAATAACAAAGAGAAATATAAAAGTAAAGAGGCTGTTCCACTGCATTCACTAAAAAATAAATGACTGAATGAGTACAAGATGAACTATAATTTTTACATCGCAAATCAATGTGACATGTTACTTATACCAATCATGTTTATTGGTTCAAAATACAGAAATCTTGAAAAAATTTCGGGGCACAGTATCTAAGATGATCAAGGCATGAATTTATTGCCTCCTGCAATAATATGGACATTATGAAAACAAAACAGAATGTAGGATAAGTCTTAACAGAAGAATTTAATAGACAAAAAGAAAATATTCCGGATAAACTTGTTCGGAGAAAAGAAGGGTAATGAGGACGAGCTTTTTGTTCAGATATTCTCAGACATGTAGAAAAGTAAAAGTTATTCATTACCACTTTAGTGATTCAAATACCAGCATATGTGTCTTACCCACTGAACAAAACTTTTCCCTCCAGATAATTTATCTGTCGCTCTCCTGCCACTGATCAATTCTAAAAGAACCACGCCAAAGGAGTATACATCCGTCTTAGTGGACAGTTTTCCTTTCTCCAAATACTCCGGTGCTGTGTATTCAGAACTTACATTTTTATCTTTGTGGGATTTCAGTTCTAGTTTTCCTTTTCCTAAGCCAAAATCTCCAAGCTAAAGATATATGCACCATTCAGAATAGAAAATTAGTTCGCTAGGATGACAAAATGATAATTTACACTTGCTTCCCAAGTTAGACAGACAAAATTAGGTCAAAAGGTTCAATTACCAGAGGCTCGAATTCATGGGTCAGAAGAATGTTGCTTGGTTTTATACTTCCATGAATTATGTTAATGTCATGAAGGTATTTCAGACCTCTAGAGGCACCAATTGCTACTTTTACCCTTTCTCTCCAAGTCAATGACCGGCAGCTTCCCCCTGTATAATGGAGAAATTCTGTATTTAGTCAAGTTCCATGCAGAAAGTGTTTAAAATTCTATATGAACAAAGGCCTGTTTGTTGATCCATTAAAACCCTTCTAAATGGACGTTTTCCAGACATCAATTTTTCTTGCTTCTCGAAAAAGCTACATTGGGACATGTGCTAACTGACGAGCTATAAGTTCTGAATATAGTAGTCAAACATAAACCTGATAAGTGCTGGTCAAGTGAACCATTGCAAGCAAACTCATACACAAGAATCTGTTGATTTTTGTCTGTGCATGAACCCAACAGCATCACCACATTTTTATGTATAGCTTTAGTAAGCAACTGCGCCTCTGACTTAAATATTTCTTCTTCCCGAGAGCTAGTTATTCGATGCATCTTGATAGCTATTTTCAGCTTACAATCTAGAATGCCCCGGAAAATTGGTCCATTTCCACCTTCAGAGAGAGAGTTCTGAAATGAAAATATATCTGTAGCATCTTCAAGCTCATTGTAAGTGAAGTCTCTTTGATTTCCAACATTTGAGCGTCTACTTTTGCATATAGAGCATAAAAATGATTTTGAACTATCCAAAATCACTTCTCCCTGGTGCCTATTCATCATATCTCCTTTTCTATCAACTGCAATTTGACCCATAATTGTCTCATTTTTTATAAAACTGCTCTGTCCTTGATCCAGATCCAGTGTATCAACTTTTGTCAAAGCTACCATATGGTTTGTTCTTTTCTCCTTTCCTACACTCTTCTCCACCCCATGGCTTAGATGATCAGCTTTTTTATGACATAACATGTCGTTATTTTCAATTGCTAGCTCTGGATTCCACATTTCTCCATAGTGGCAGCTCTTGATCCGCTTTTCCTCAGTCAGCTCATCAGGTATCTTTTGACCTATCATATAGTTCTCATTTGGTAAAAACATTTTTCTATAAATTATCTGAATATATTCAGATTGAACATTCGACAATATCCAATAATTTTAAATATGATGAAGAAAGTATGTTGCTACTCTTGCCTGAAAGTTATATGCTTAACACATGCTCTCATCTGAAGATTGATACTGAGACAATTTCAAATTAAGTTGCCAGGCTGTTTCATTGATTGGAGATTTTGCTAACTTCTGACTTCTTGTCCATTCTCTTATGTTTGATTATGACATATGACTAATAAATGATTCTGATGATAACATATAAGAATGAACCATTTTCAAAAGAAAATTATCACGCTCATAGGCTGTCATGTTAACAATATCTTCTGCCCCTCCCTCTTTAAGTTATTTGCTTCTATATTTCCTGTTTTACCTTTTTCCTCAAGCTATTTAATCTGAGAATTTTTTTTTAATTAATTTGACTTCAAGTTGATTACTTCTTGCTTTCGTTATTTATCATTGTGCTTAAGCTATCCTGTCCTAGATTATTTTCCTCTTTACCTTGAGTAGAAGTAATGTCTGATATGCCACATGTTGATCTTGAAATTTCTGGGGAAAAGTCTACAGTAACACAGCCCTCTTCACTCTCTATTATGCCTCGTAATTCAGAGACCACCTGAAATTATGTGGCAATGGCATGTTGACAATGTATAACCATAAAATTGCAGCACAGGTGCTGTGAGGTAGAAATATAAAAGCAAGACCATTTTATTTTCTTTTGGGAATGAACCGAATCAGGTAAAATCTTAGACCATATCTTTATTTGGATAGGTTTGTGAGCATTGAGCACCTGAACCATGTACTATCTCTTGTTCATTAATTCGTACAAATTTGTATCTTTAATTTAATGAAGCACCAATATCATTTTTCATTCACAGAGCATCCTTGTTTATGAACCTGGGATATGTCTATATTATGGTTAACATTTATCTGAAATGCATCCTCTTGGTAATTCAAAATGTTCTCAGTTAGGATAAACAAAGTAATTTTTGAGCCCTTTGTCAATAGTTTAAGCTTTTAAGTGAGATTTAAGATTATATTTGTGCCTTGGTAATCTTATAATTTCTTTTTTATTTACAATCTTCAGACCTTATAATTTTTTTTTTTGAGCAAAACTTCAGACCTTATAATTTAAAGTTCAGTTTTAAGTAATTGAGCATTCAATAACAAACCATAGTGTTCTTATACATCTAGTAACTCACTGCCAACAGTTAATACTACAGTACATGCAACTTGTTTTCTTCCTTCAATTTCACTTCATGATTGACATAATTTTAATCATGGACACATACCATATTCATGCTTAATCTTTCCTTTGGATTCTTTTTGAGACATTTTTCTGTTACTTGGGCCAACCAATGAAGTTGTTCTTCTTCGTAGGAGGTTCCAATTGCAGGATCCACCAATTGCGGATACTTCTTTGTTCCAAGAAGAGGCTTTGCCTGAAACATAAAATGAAAGAAAATAATAAAATACAGTATGTTTTACATAAGCACAAGGTCAACAGAAAAGGTGCAGAGAAAAGTTGTATGGCATTGTGCAATGATTTAGGTCATTAGATGCTTATAACTAGAGATTAATGCCAAAATTTTCAAGGATAACCCTTTCCATTAATGAAATGGTCTTCTTAGCCTATTTGTTGTCCTCTACTAGGCTTTCTATGCCTACTTTATTTTTAGCTCTCTCTCTCTCTCTCTCTGTATAGATATAAATATTTGGTATATGGTAATACTAACTAATCTAGATTAGAGTATTGTTTGGCCTAAACAGAACTACTTGCATCCGGTAATAACATCAAAAGGAATATGGAACATGATTCAAAGCAGAGAGTATTGAGTACTACAGCACGGATATGAAATGGATTGACTTGGGAGAAGCATCAGAGTTAAAGCTTAAATTTAAGATGTTGCACGACAAAGGAGAACTATTTCCAAGATACCATGGTTTATAGTGCACCGAAATCACAAAAAATTATGTCATCAAAGAAGATTGTTGTCCCTACTGCTACAAGATTTGTGTGCTTGAAAACAGATACAAGAGTTTACATGGGATTAAATAGTATCACAAGAAAACAAGCCTGATAATGATCTTTTGAAAAAACAAAATATAGGGTCTTGAGGTCAAACAAGTACTTTTGATATTCTTAGAAATTAGAGGACAATGTTGATCACCCTCAAAAATTCAAATTACCAGAAGCTGCTTAGGGTGTGTAATAAAAGTAATGTTGTGTGACTATTACCCATTCAACAAGGTTTTTCTCTCCTGATATTTTGTCTGTAGCCCTCTGACCAGTGATAAGCTCTAAAAGAACCATTCCAAAGGAGTATACATCCGTCTTGGCTGTTAGTTTCCAATTCTCCAAACACTCTGGTGCTGCGTATACCAAACTTTTATCCTTGTGTGACTTTTTTGCTTCACATTTTGCTCTCCCCAAGCTGAAATCTCCAAGCTAAGTATATATTCACCATTCAATATAGAAGTTAGATTGATCTGATGAGAAAATATGGAATCAACAGTAACTTAGACAAATAGGATATGTCTTGGCTTCCAAGTCCAAGTTATTAGGTATGTACCATTGGTTCGAACTCATGGTTTAGAAGAATGTTGCTTGGCTTTATACGTCCATGAATTATGTTATTATCATGTAAGTACTTTAGACCCATGGAGACACCTACAGCTATTTTCACCCTTTTTCCCCAGCTTAATGGCCTGCAACTATTCTCTGCATGATTCAGAAAGTTCCTTTATTGCATCACATTGAAATCTCCACCAAAATTCCTAGGACAGTTATACAGTTGCTAAAATTCTACATGCATTATTGGATCATAAGTCTTACTAGATAGATGCTTGTCAAGTGAACCATTGCATGCATACTCATATACAGCTAATAGCTGACTTTCTTCTATGGAGGAACCCAACAGCATGGCCACATTCTTATGTCTAGCCTTGAGGATCAATTGCACTTGAGACATCATTTGTTTCTCTACTTGGGCATCTGTGAGTCGATGCTGCTTCACCACTATTTTCAGCTGACAATCAAGCTGACCTTTGAAAGTAGATCCACATTCTCCTTCAGAAAGTGAGTTGTTAATTGAAAATTCATCTGTAGCGACTTGAAGTTCGATATATGAGAAGTCCCTTTTCCATCCACTATCTGGCCGTCTACTTTTGCAGACTGAGCAGATAGAGCATTCTGTATTCCCAAAAATGCTCTTCTCTTGCTTTCCATCTGTTTTATCTTCTTGATCATGGCTCAGCAGCTCAGCTTTTGTTCCATCTATGTGTAGATCACCTCTTGTTGCCTGCCTGAAGTGCTGCCCTTCATCATGGATGCTCTTCCATGTCTCTTCTACAACTGTTCTGGGTTCATCAGGTTTTGTCTGACTTGTTTGATTACTGTCAGTAAATGTAAAGTCATCCCCCTTATCTGAGTTTCTTTGCATCTCTTCTTCCATGCTGGGAAGATCCTCTTTTATTTGACCTATCATCGGATCATTCCAAACTGTTATTGTTATGATGCTCAATAACCACTTTGTGAATAACATGCAATGAAACTGAGACAGAGTAAAGCTAACCAGCCAAATTAGAGCGTATTTGGCCAAGGTAAATCCCATAAAAAAATATACCTAGAAAATGACTGAATTGACTAAATAGCTTCAATTGTTTGAGAGTATTTTGCATAAAAAAGATTTAATTTTAATTCTAAGTTTATTAAAAAAAAAAATCTGAAGCTGATATTTTGGCGGACTGAGATGTAACCTGGTGCTAGAAGTGTTTCAGAGCTTACCAATCTTGGGGTCTTCCATACTGTTATCCTCATCGTCATGACATCCTGGTACAGGACTGATAAATATCTCTGTGGGGAGAACTGGGGGACCTCTCAAATGTTCAATCCTATTGTTACGCTTCAATCTTGATATACCACAAGAAAGCTCCTGCAGGAAAAACTTCTCATCTTTCTTCATCTGCCTGCGACCCAGGTGCTTTTTATATTAGTATGTTTGTATGATTCATGTGAAAAGAGCTGTTTAGATTTGACAAGAGGAACATTAACTATGCAATCGTTTTATAATTCAACAAATCATAATTTGACTTAGATGTTATGAGAAGTAAATTCCAAGTTACAGACATTCTAGAGTCATTACACATCCATCGAATCAATATAAAATCAGTACAATTTTCAAGCTTGATCTTAGTCATATGAGAAGCTCAGATACAACTATGTTTGTCCTTCTTCTTGTGCTTAAAGATGGCTACGTTAGAATTATTGTATATCCGGTTTATAGTCCTCAGCTCAAGCCTAACATTTAATGCTTTGGCTTGAATTAGCCAGAATCAATATCTAGGAGCAATTCCCAGAGTGTATCAATACCCTTGACTGTGTAGGTTAGAGTTTCATCTCTCATAATCTTTGCGTTAAAAAAGGTTCTTAACGAGGACATAATTAGCACGGCCAATGAAAATATCAGTTTCTGTTCCTTCGTACTTTCTAGACATTTAAGAAGAAGCAAAAGTTGCCCCAAAAGCTTTCAACTTTCCTTCAAAAGCAATGTTTTGTTTCATGAGATGACTACGAAGGTTGTTTCAATGAGATTATCAGTTTAATTTTGCCTGACCTGTCCAATATCACCCAAGTTGCATTTAGTTCTTTCGCTTTGTCTAAAGCAACCTCCTTAGCTGAAGTTGCCGTGACCAACTCTATCCTGAATTCAACCTGAAATGTTATGCAAAATGTAATAGGCTGCAATATTAGTAAAATATGAGAAGTCCTAGCATTACACAAATATCTGATAGATTCCCAGTTGTGAATAAAACAGATGTATGGTAACATCCTAATGGGAAAATAATATGAATTACGTAATGATTTTTGTCCTGTACACTATCACTTAATATGTTAACTGAAGATAATATCGGTTCTATCTATGTTTTTTTTTTTCATGCTTTACAATTATGAGTCTGTAAATGCAACCTTGAACATGAAACAGGTGGCAAAATGGCACGGTCCTCTGCTTCTAATTTATTGGAGAAATTTCTTTCTATTTTGACCTGCAAAATTTTGGAGGAACAATATTTGTGGCTTCCCGGCTGTTTCTCTAAGTGTAACACATACATTGGCAATGAATACGCAAAAGCTTAAATTCTTAAGTGACTGTGCACAAGTAATTTTTAATAAAATAGTAAATTTTTTTTCACATGAAAGTTCCTTTAAGCTTGACCAAAGCTCACGTGCATCATATCTTGTGCTAAAATTTAATGGAAGTTGAAGATGATTGAATTTTTCAATTTGATTACTGGCCCAAAAAACTTTGAAACCATACCAAGGATTACTTCACCTCAAATTTAAATATTCAAATGAAGATTCACGAATAGGTATAATCTTTAACACGTTTTCTCAGACAAGAGCTTTAAAAAAAATCCATTCATTCCTCAACTATTTCTTGTAGATTATTTTCTTCGGATTATGTCATCGATAATAAGTCATTGTCAAGTAAATTCTCAACGAGCTGCTTTTTTTTAGGGTATGGTTTTCCAATATCATCCTTTTCAATTGAACATCTATTAACTTTCAACATTTACTTCATTCTTCCTTATGATCATAAAGCAAAAGAAAAGATCTCAACAACTACTGTTAATGTTACCTTCTGTGATTCATACAGTTTAGAAATCTCAAGAAGCTCCTCATTATTTTGGTATTCTTCCATCCTCCTCGCAGCTCGCATCTCTACTGCTTTCTTGTTGGCTCCAACCAGTGATTTGCTGTCCAATGTGCTTAAGTACCCCACTACAAAAGAATTTTGATGGTAAAGGAAGCAGAAAAAGTAGTTTATTCATGTGTCCTTTATATGGTGTTTGGCACGTGGGATTTTAATTTCTCAACTGCCGCGAAACCTATTTGAAAGCTATTCTTGTACAAGATCTATATGAAAAATTTACACTAATGTTGTGTATAAATAAAGAGAAAATCAACTAGTTTGCCTTTGAAAGATGACTTACACTGTTACACATTAATTTTGGTAATCAACTGTTGTTTGCATCACTTCAACACACAAATAGTCATTCTCTCATTCTCACGAAAATTTAATTGTTTTCTCACTCCACTGAGTCCGAATCAACATTTTCTTCATGTGCGTACCCGTGTAAATGTACCATCACAGGATAAAAACATTGAATCTGTCCCAACAGAGTGACAAAAGTGATTTGATGCAAAAATAGTGATTTGATGAATAATTAATAGCTGCCATAAACTTCCCTAGCATCCATGGAAGAGCACATACTAGGAGTATAAAACTGATAGAGAACTGCAACAACGGTGAGCTTATCTCCTGGCTTCAGTGATAATCCTTTCAAGGACCAACGAAAGACTCTTGGATTGACATCTTTAGATGCATCCAGGACGACCACCACCCTCTTTCCTTCCATGCTTTTACAATTTCAAGCTCTGTATTGCTATGGAACAGAAAAGTTGGTTCAGGGAAGAATATATGAAGAAGAGGATACAAGGAACTACCAACATGGGAGATATAGCTTATTCATCCAAGTGAGACATTTTGTCGAATACAGGAGCTTCAAAAGAGCCCTTCTGTCATCAACTTCCCAGACATTGCAAAGCCATTCTATATAAATACTGTAACCCTTGAATATTCCGCATTTTGGGAATCCTGATGAAAAATCCAGTAATCTTCTTGCTGTCTCTTTATAAAAACCCATTACTTTAAAGCTCGGTTTGGTCCTAGGCATACTTGTAATTGGTTTTCATGTCTTAGCTGAAATTCTTGCGATTGATAATATCCAAGCTAAGGTTAAACTTGTTCATCATCCCTTCGAAACTATCCCCAAAGAGGACAAAGGAATTTCTCAAACTTCGGAGAAAATCAGGGAAATGTTCTTCGGTGCGCAACGAGATAACAAGGCCTCCGGCTGGCTGCTGCATTGTGGCCAGCCGCCTTTAGCCTCGTGGACTTGCCTTCGGTCGTCCAGTTTCATGCCACAACGTGGTGTTCTTCGCAAAAGACAAGAATACGCGACAAAGATCCCAAGCATGTCTCTATTTGTTGAGATGATAATGAACCTTGAAATTCTCTTCTTTCTTCTTTTCCCACCATTTTCCTGCATACCGCGCTGGACAACGAGCCTTGACCAGTGAAACAAATTTTTGACATAGACATAGATGCAGCTAGCATGGTCTCTATGCTAACAAAATGTCTGTTCATATTTTATATTTTTATTGGTCTACTGGTTCTCGTTGATCATCATTCATCAAGCTTATTTTGATGGAAATGAGAACATTTGAATCAATAACAAGTTTAGATTTTGATGATAATGTATCAGGCCTACCAATAACATCCTCGTATATTAGGAGTAGACTTAAACTCACAACTTCATGAGTTATAAATTAAATATTTATTAATGGGACCAACTTTTATTAGTTGTTCTTGTTTGTTTTGGTAAAAAAAATTTTATAAATGCTATATTTTATAAATCCTTTTTCACCCAAAAAAATAATAATTTATTTATCACATAATTTTGTTTGTTGGTCTTTCGTAATGTAATGAACCAAGTTATATAACTTCATTAAGATATCCACATTTAATACTTAATGATATATTGAACAAGACTATCTCCAATAAAAAATAACATGTGATGTGAGCAATCAAAAGATTCTCACTTTGAGCAATACTTCTTTTTTCGCGATAAAACTTACGCATAGCTTCATATGAGGAGACCAATGCATGACATTTGAATAAAAACATAAGAATAAATGGACTTGTTTCAAACTGCTTTTACTCTATTGTTATTGTTGCAAGAAATGATGTTTTGTAAAATATATTTTGAAAATAAAAAAATATTTTTTACATTCTCTTTTATTCTTTAAAATAATAATTTCAAATTACTTAAAAGATATTTTTATTTTTCTATTCTTCATAATAATTTTTTTCTTTAAAACACTTTTTAAAAATATATTATCAAATAAATTTTTTCTTTTATTTTGAAGAACAAAAAATTATTTTTAAAATAGGTTGCTAAACAAGCCCAATATCTTTTTGAGTTTAATTATATTCCTCCTAGTCTTTCAAAATGTTAACTTAACCTATTATTTTATGATGTTCTAATGCAAGGTATTTGAATTATATCTTCTCTTCTTTTGTATTTTTTTTTCACAAGCATTTTCTTGTTTTCTTCTCTTAAGTCTTGTACTGTGAATAAAGGTTGGATCTAGTAAAAAAATAATAATTCAGCTCTCACAATATGATAAACTAATATTTGAATCTTCTATAAAAGTGTATACATTTAATGTTGAATTGTATCTTGAACATGAGATTACTTCCAATATAAGAACACTTGTATATAATAAAAAAAAGAATTAAAGATTATTTTTACCTCTCAATTGTACGTAAAAGATTACTACAGAAGACTATCAACTCAACTTAGAGCCAAATTTACCTCTTAACATTAAAAATTTGTTTTTGGTACTTTTGATGTTATTTGCCAGTTATGAAAGTCTTACATTTAAATTTTTTTAATATTTTTATTAATCCTACCATTTTTTATATTTTAGGATCTCCAATGACTTTTTACATATAATTAAAAAAAATAATATTTAACTCATAAAAAATAGTGATTCAAACTGAATTCAAAAAATTGAATCTAATAAAAGAGATTAATCTCAGTACCGCAAAACTTAATTAATTAAAATTCAAATTTCTGTATATATTAAATGCTCCGCAATGATTTCAATGGAATCTTTATAAAAGATGTGCCCAAAATTCAATCCTGAGGGAGCAAAAATTTGCTTGGGATATGGGATTCCGTAAGGTTGTCTTAGAATCTGATGCAAAAGATCTTATTCAGAGAATTTATGGTCATTGTTTAGTCAGAAGCCGTTCTAATCTGGTGTTTCTGGAAATTGTGAATATGAAAGAATTCACGTGGGAGCTTCAATACTCTGTCCTTTATGATATGCAGGGCAGTGTGGAGAAGTTTTAAAGCCTAGAACGAAATCTTCATATTATTTTTCTAACTTTATTGAATTGTAAAATCAAATATCAAAATTTTGTGATCAAGTAATTCTAACATTTTAATTTCAATAGATAATTTAGCTTATTCATTTAATCTATTTTATAACATGGTTGTTCTTAAATAATATTTAAAAAATTTTAATTTCAAAAAACTTCTTTTAGTAGTAGCAATTGTCTTTAGTATTATAAAATAAAAAGTGAAAAAAAAAAAACAATTGTTTTTCCCCCCAAATTAGATAGCAAGCAAAAAACTCTAACAAGCAAATAAAAGGATTTGGCATGGCCAGTGGCGGCATTAAGCAAATCAACAAAGTAACAATGTAAACATAGTTGAGCAACATCAACATTCAACCGAAGCAATGTTTTTTTTTTTTTTTAATAAGAACATGACGTCAATGACAGAAAATGATTCAATTGAGAGAGGAGGATGATTAATTGATATTGGGAAATGGAAGTGATAAATACAATGAAATGTGAGGCAATAAATTTTTAATGAGAAAATGTAATTAACATTAATATTTAATATAAAAAAGGATTAATAAGCAAATATTAGTATAAGCTAGCAATAAATTATTAATAAAAATATATAATTAACATCAATAATTAACCAGAAAATTAATAACTAGTTTTACAAGATACAAACAAATATTTTTTGAGATCTAAGTCAGTGAACTTTAATGGCCTTACATCAAAAAAACCCCTGATCATATGACCCCCCAATTTCTAAGAGTCCTAGTGCAGAACGAGATGTTGGGAACTAGTTGCCCTTCTATTTAGTCTGTTAATTTAATTTTAGACGTTGTTCCTCCTTTGTATTAAAAAAAACAAAAAGAAAAAAATTTAAATCTCATTTAGTTACTAAAAGGGAATATAATAAAATGGATTAAAAAATAAATATAAAAATAAACTAAATCACCCGTTTTTTTAATATTAAACATGATAAAACTCGTTAATATGTACTACAAATGTGAAAATTACCACACCCTCCAAAAATCTTGTCAATTATTACTCCCAACTCCATAAATTAAATTATCTCTCTTATTTATAAATGTGTTTTACTATTCTTTTTTATCATATCATTTTTTACATTTATTTTTTTAATTCATTCAATTTTATTTTTTTCTAATAACTAAACATAAGCTTATACTCAATCAAAAAATAATAATGATTGCATCGTGTGATAAAGAATCCAACACTTTTTAAATAGTCTCAAGTTGAGATTTGTAAACGAACAAAACTAGCTTTTCCCCTAACTGGGGCCAACCAAATTCAGATTTTAATTGGTCAATAGATATCTAATAGTTTGTTGCAAAGAGTATAACATAGTCATTCACATATTAAAATAAAATTTTTTAGAGAAATTCTTGTTTCATGAACTTATAAAATTAGCATGATTAAAACTCAAATTTATAATGATACATGTGTAACCCACCACAAAGTGTATTAGTGTATATATGCTTAAATTTAACACTACTCTAATACATTGGATTTATAAAAATATGAATTAAGTAATTTTTTTTCTTTTAGGGGCTAATTCAACATTGCATACAACACCAGAACAAAGAAATAGAGAGTTGGCCAAGTGGTTTAGTTGTCTTCTAGTCCTTATCAATCATTGTGGCCTTTTGTTCACGTTTAACATCATAATAAAGTCATACTTTAAAAAAAACGTCTAATTCATAAAATTGACAGTTTGTTAATAAAACAATGACTGTAAAAATATTAAAAATTAATTTTCCAATAAGAAATATAAAAATAATATATAATTTTTTTAAAATATTACTTATATCCTCTAAAATTATAATTTGACTTTTTACAAATCTTTTTATAACATTGAGAAAATCCACTTATAATTATGAATTTAGAAAACATTAGTGATAATTGTATAAAGTACAAATTGTATCGTATTTTTATACTTATGAAGAAAATATAATTTGAAAAACATTTAGTTACTAATTTTAAAAATTCTCAACCCGCATATGTCATTTTTCTTACAATTAATTAGTCTTAGTTCATTCTAAGCCCTGACTTGTCTGAACTATCCTAGGAAGATTTTGGAGAAATGTTTGATGCAAAGGGGCTGAAGAAAAATGATATAATAAACTGAAATTTTGTCGTCATTATAATTAGGGATGTATGGCCAGATTAAATTTTGAAGTTGACATGGCAAAACTATTTTTTATCGTGTGAGTAAATTAGAAAAATATATAGAGACGTTTAAGTTCAGAAATCAATGTCCCAATTAAGATAAATTTGAAAGTGAAATTAATGTGAGTTAGTTAAATGTGAAACAACTCAAAGTCAAAAACTATCACCTAATTAACAGGCTAACACCCCTTTTAAATTTAATGTAAATTTCTCATAGTTAACTTAATTAATTTGGTTTCTTCTCTTACATGAAGCGATTATTACTATGGAGAGGACACATCCTAAAGGGAGGATTATAGGGGAAACAAAATGCAATACTAAAATTTTCAATTCAATATATTCTTATAATCTATTTTAATTTGTCGCTTATTGCATTCATGTTATGTTATTTAATTACTGCATATTTGTTTTGAGTAAATGACACTAATTTAAAATTTCAATGGAATGACATAACGTGAAGACAAGTGACAAAATCAAAATAACTTTTTTGGTTATTTGAAGAGAAAATGTATTTATAGGTTCTTATGATTTCATTTAATTTTAAATTAAATTTTTATAGTTCATTTTATTTTAATCAAGTCCTTATAGTTTAATCTATTAAATTTTTTAATCCCTGAAAATTAAAACATTGAATTTTTTTTAAAACACAAAATTAAAAGATTTTATATTTTTATCAAAATATTATATAAATTTATAATTATTTACATAATTTTTATAATTCAATTTTTTTTATAATTAGATGGTTTTCTAAATAATCACTACTACAAAAACGTAAATATAAGACTCCATAAAAAATGACGATCAAATAAAAATACATTATATATGAGATAGGCGAGTGATGGGGTCAAAATAAATGACAGGTCTTAAAAAAACTGTCATATATTACTAGACTTTAAATGACGGGTATTAAAAAATTCTGTCATTTATTTCAACCCAACATTTCATTTACTAAAAAAAAAATAAAAAATAAATTTAAACTTTAAATGACGAGTATTTTA